CGGTCTCAGAAGAAAACCAGCAAACTCGGGGACTGCGCCCACCTGATGAGCCCCAAGAAGGGCGAAACCGGTCATGGGCTGTCGAAGAGTTTTCAGCAACCTTGTGAGTAGTTTCCTTTATGAAAATATACTGCGATATCTCGAATATCGTACCAACTGAAACATGAGGCGGCCTGTGTGCAGCACATTCAGTTGTAGAATATCATAAACGAGATATTCAGTTGAAACTCTCGTGAAAACGAAATTGATTTGCAAATGAGTGTATTTCTTGAAAACAGTCCGATTTGGGTTCAAGTATATCATAAGGTTGACGGAAACTCGGGGACCGTGCCTACCTGATGAGCTCGAAGTGGAAGGGCAAAGCCGGTCGTGGACTGCCGAAGAGTCTTCAATAACCTTGTAAGTAGTTTCCTTTACGAAAACAGGTTTAACACCCGTTTCAGGAAAAATGCCAAACACGCTACGGGGAAACTGTAACTTAGAAAACAGACCAAGTCCCGAGAATTAGTACAACAAAGCAATGCCGAATGGCTCACAGTCACTTGTGATGATCAACACATAGTAATCGGCTTCCGCTTAAGCTATGAAAGAAGATGGTACAATCCGATGGACTGGAGAAACACAGAACTATTCACACGACTTCCTTGCACAGAGCTTCAGTTAAGCGATGAAATGCGCACGGCGAATATATGGTCGCGATCACGCTCCCTAACCGGTGGCAATATGAATGGTTGTGCCTAAATGCCAGAATGCGCGCGAAAATAAACTTTTGTCCTCAGTTAACTGTGATCTGTTCTGATAGGGGGCTTTCTGGCAAGGAGTTTTGCCTCTTGCAGTCGGTTTCCGAGGCAACACTCCCACGCTTACAACATGGCGCCTACTCTGTACCTTTAAAAGGAAATTTTTAAGGACAATGGCCTTGGTGGTTGATTGGCATTTAATGATTGTTTATTGCGTTACGTGCCGTCAGGGTCCTTCACATCGGCTTGCTCAACTTGACGATACTGTATTCCTTTTTTAGGTCATAGAAAGAATTCGTCGCTTCGGCTGAGGTTATATTCTTCAGACGGAATCGATCTATGCTGAAGAGCGAAGCATCTCTGAGTAGATGTTTCATTCTTGCCGAGAATCACTAGCAGTGCGCGTTTCACGAACATCTGAAAGGTTTGAACCAAATCCTTCCGATTTGTAACTGAAAGGGTGGTCGATCAATCAGACTATACTGCTATTCGCTCAGCTCGCACCACGTGATGGTTTCTATTGGACGTTCGATACAAATTAGCGCTCGGTTAGAATACAGAGTGCAGGTATTGAGGCTGAACAAAGGGGTAGAGTGGCACCAACCGAGCAAATCTCAATGCATTACCATATCAGAATTGATTCATTTAACGACAGTTTCCTTCCTGTGTGCCTGTATTCTCAAAGATGCTTCTGAGGCAAATGAGTGCTTTTCAAACACCCAAATGCCAAAACTGTTATGATTTGGCGATCTGCAAATCTACTACGGAAGAGAAGCCCTTTGTATCATGCACACCGGCTCCATCTTCTACGGCGCGTTCCTGGTGCCTAGCGGAAGACACTGTTCAAAGTTCTGGATGGACTGACAAACCAGTTTCGAAACATAACTGAGCATCAGTGGTCCAAGACGGACTTCGATTTCACTTCAACCGCGGATTATCTGACAAAATTTAAACATGTTTTTCAAACAAACGGGATGTCTGAAGATGTTCAGCAACAAGTTCAACAGACCATTGATCACAACAAATAGAAGACACGGCAATACGGAAGCAAAAACAGGACGCACCCAGAAATCTTCAAAAAGAAGAATCCACCATAAAAGAGCCAGGACCTGAAGGATAAATTTCAGTGATCTTGGATAAACTGGACTTCATCGAGAGGGGCAAACAGCCACTGAATGACACTAGCACATATCGACCAATCGGCTAAAACCTCACTTCAAAACTTGTCACTAGAATCAACGCCACGCTCAGAAAAATACAGGCGACGATGAAGTAATACGGCTGCGCATCAACCTACTGCGCAGCGGAACAATCATGTGAAACAGGGCCGTGCGATTATGCCCCCACGTCTGAATCACGTCGGATTTCATCATGTGCCGGAGAAAGGTCAAAAAGGGACACAAAAAGTTCACGCCCACTCCATGGCAAAGGCACAAGCGTACAGACGGCCAAGTGAAGAGATACAACATGAAGAATGAAAGCCGATGACAGAAACATTGGGAAATCCCATGGACTGCCGAAAGAGAATGAGCTCCACTCGATCCATCGTTGTACAACCAGGAACCCCCGGCGTACAATCTAACAAAAGACCTATGCAGACCTATGAAGAATCTGACTGCCGAGTCAGAACACTCAGCAAACATCGCTGAACAGCTCCTGAACAAACTCCAGCGACAAGATACATGACTAAGAATTTTTGCCCCCGTTTGACATCGCTACTCTGTTCACACCAATCAACCGCAACCCCGACAAGCAGAACGCGATGGAACTACCTCGGAATAATCCGAACAGAACGGGAACAATGAAACCAGAAAGTATTTGCAAGTTTTTGGATTTGTGTATGAATACGTAATTCATATTCAAGGGACAAACGTAAAGGCGGATGAAAGGAGCTCCAATTGGATCGTTCTTTGCCGAAGCAGTACTGTACGACAGATGCGCGATTCTTACAGCTGACAATGATGTTGATGATGATGATGGTGAGGATGATGATGAGCTGAAATTCGAATGAAACTCCTCAAACGTGTGTATATCGGAGGCAGACGTACACCCACCGAATATTAAGCTACCACGGCGAATACCCCGTGAACCACAGGCGAAGTTGCGTTCAAACTCTGTTCAGAAGAGCGGGAGACCACCAACAAATGCTAACATCGAGTCCGCCTCTGCCATGAAACCAATGGACAGAGAAATGGGACCCACTATGCAGGCAAACGAAAAAAAGTCAAAACCTGGGTAGCCATAGAGACAAGTCTCAAGGCGGGCCGGACGCGACCAATAAGAAGACTGGTCGCCCAAAAGGTCGGTAAGAATGCTCTGCTCGTCCAAACGAACAGTGGTCGATCAAGGTCGACCTGGGTGAATAGACCCTACATCAACCCACGTACTTCCAACCCCAACGCACTGATGATGAACAGTTTGCAACCAAACTGCTCAACTCATCGAGTAAACCTGGGGTTATCAGTACAACCTGAGCAGCCAATATTCTTTTCAAACTGTTGGGACTCCCGCCAAACAGTTATTTATTCTCTTAGGATGATCTGGCGCAGGGTTATCCAGTCAGTCTGTTTGAATGCGACATCTAAACAGTGCCCAACATTGAGCCGCGTTAAAAGTGCAGGAGCAAAGGACATTTATTCAGCTGCGCCGATAAGAAAAACACGGAATCAATAAGACTACAACCTGATTGAATCGCCCGAGTCGTGGACTGAAGATGCATGTCAGGACACGTGACTGCGTGGATGTGTGTATGCATAGAGTTGATCACCTTTCAGTCTGCCTACCAGCGGAGCAATGACGGAAGCTCGGACGAACAACAGATCCAACGGAGAGCGTAGGGACATTCAAAATTATTTGCTTAGCCTCGTCTGCTCATCCGGTCCGGGCACTCAGTCGCTACAAACAATTCCTCTTAACTCTAATGACATTCATAGAAATGCAACAAAATCGATCTTTTGTAACCTCGCAAGTGTGGTGCTTGCTTCTCGTCAGGCGATCAATGAATGTCCGGCGGCTTTCACGTGATTTTTTCCAATTTCAGTGAACTTTTCACTAACCACTGTACTAAAATAATAAAGTATTTTGTAATGACCAGTTGGTGTGGGTAGGTGAACGCAAATTCCTCTTGGTTCGTTTGTTAAATCTTTTAATTTGGCTCCAGTGGCAATATTAAGTGCCCCGTCTTACTATCTTAGCGAGCTTACTCAAAGAAAATAATTGCTTTGAATTTACTCATTTTGGTATAATTTCGTGGGATCTTTTTCAGATAAGCCCCGCCACCCACAAAAGATTAGAAAAAAGAGGACATGAAATTCTTACTTAAAGTTTTTATTGAAGAGGGTGAAATTGGGACATGTCATTAATAATTTGCGTGAAAAAGTCCGTTTTTTTCGGTGCCTTTGCCTCCAAACGACCTCACACAAGTAGCTTTCCACGAAAGGTCGGTGTGTGCCGCATTGGCGTTTATTTTGCATCTTGTAGACATGCCGAAGAGATTCGATGGTTTGTGTGTGAGCTTTAGTCGTTGGATCCACAAAGTTTTTGGTATGATCAACCGTTTCATGAGTATGGTTCATGTCAATAATCGTTTCAATCATGATTAAGCCGGCAGCGATGCAGGCCTGGATTGTGTCCATGAGAGTGACCGCAGTTCGACCTGGCACTGAATACATGAAAATCTCTTCACTATCCC